AAGTGGGTATTCATCCAAGTCCCACATCGAGTAATATGAAGAAAAAAGAAGTAAAAAGTTATTATAAATATAGAGAGTTGATTTGAGTTTATTTACCACAACAATTCTAGTCTTTTTGGTGTATTAGGGATTTGGGTAGTTGTGTGTTTAGAGAGGGTTTACAATTTTTTCGTACAAAATTTTTGATTGAGAGTGTTTTCTATTTTCCCGTTCAAAAATAGTTTGTTGAGATGATTTTCTATTTTTCCGTTCAAAAATAGTGGTTGAGACGGTTTGTAATTTTTCTGTCCAAAAATTACAAATTAGTAATAAATTTTTGATTGAGAGTTTATTTTATTTTATTCGTATTAAATTTTTGGAGTTTTACTTTGGATATATTTCCAACAACTGGCATCAAAACAAAGGTTCTGGTCAAGGGATGAAATATCAGGTTTTCCATCATCTTATTTGATTTGAGTTTTATTTTCTTAAACAATATTATAGCTACATTGATGTTGTATATTCCTTTGTTTGATGGGATAATGGATTTCCCCTTATGGCAATGTATAATACAAGACTATTTGGTCCAACAAGATCTTGATTGTGCTTTGGAAAAGGAAAAACCAAGTGAGATGAAAGGATCAAATTGGAATTCAATACAAAAAAGATAGTGAGTACAATTCAGTTGGCACTTGCTCCACAAATTAAAGTGACTGTGTTGAAAGAAACCTCTCCAAGGAAATAGTTAGATTTATTAGAAAGCAAGTTTGCCTCAACCACATTAACCAATCGATTGATGATGAAAATGAATTTATACTCATTGAAGATGGAAGATGAAGGTAATGTATTTGATCATATTAATAAATTTAATGAGTTGGTATCTAGAATTATGAATGCAGGGGAAGATATCAAAGATGAAGAGCAAGTGCTACTTTTGTTGGCTTCACTACCAAAATCTTACAAATCATTACTGCAATTAATGTCAGTAGGGAAGAGCTCACTACGGTTAGATGAAGAGTGAAATTGTTGAAGGAGAGTCAACAAATGATGGATATTGATCAATCTTCCGAAGAAAATCAAGTACTAGTAGCCAAAAGAGGACAAAGAAAGAACTATGGTGATCAATATGGTAGAAGTTTTCAACCAAGAGATATGAGTTTTGTCAAGTGTCATTATTGTCAACAATTTGGTCACGTGCAATCTAGATGCTCAGAATTTATAGAGGATGTGCGGGGCATAAGAAAGAAGACAAAAGAATTGAAAAGTTTTCCTTCTACAAATATGGTTAGTTGTGAAGACGATCTCTTAATTTGTGAGGATAAAGGTGACTATGAAGTGAAGAGATGTGATACTTTGAATGAAGGAAGGATTTGTTGTGCTAAAGTAAGTATTCATCCAAGTCCCACATCGAGTAATGTGAAGAAAAAAGGAGTAAAAAGTTATTATAAATATAGACAGTTAGTTTGAGTTTATTTACCACAACAACTCTAGTCTTTTTGGTGTATTACGGATTTGGATAGTTGTGTGTCTAGAGAGGGTTTATAATTTTTTTGTATAAAAATTGTGGTTGAGAGGGTTTTCTATTTCCGTTCAAAAATAATTTGTTGAGAGGATTTTCTATTTTTCCGTTTAAAAATAGTGGTTGAGAGGGTTTGCAATTTTTCCTTCCAAAAATTACAAGTTAGTAATAAATTTTTGATTGAGAATTTATTTTATTTTATTCGTATTAATTTTTTGAAGAGTATTAATTTTTGGTAAACATTGTAGTTTGTAATTATTGATTTTATGGGTAAACAAAATAACGTGTTTAAATTAAAAATAAGAAAAAAAAGCAATCTAATTTACTCTTCGGTTTTATTGTTTAACCGAGATGATTGATATGTTAATTTTGTAAATAATAAAAATGTAGACGATGAAGTTTGAATCCATGCATAAATAAAATTATCTCTCAGTTTTTAAAACACCAAAATAATTAGTGATAATTTTTAATGACGACCTTCTTACTTCACTTCTTTAATCGAAATAAAACGCATTTCGTATTCGACATTAAAAATGTTTTTTATAATAATAGAACCGAACATAAAACTTAGTATAACCACGTTTGAAATTTTATTTTATACAACTTCTATTATATCATTTACATATTCTTTTTATTCATGTTTTATATCATGTCTCCCAACACAAGAACTAAGACGAAACAAGTAAGAAAAAGAGATAGAAGAAACTTGAAATCTACAAGAGAGATATTATTATTTTACATTCTAAGATTAAAAAAAATTCAAAACATATTCTAATGAAATCTAGAAGATGCATTTGACTAAAACAACTTAATCAATTAACTATTTTTGAAATTTTATTGAAATAAGATTAAAAAATTATAAAGATGATATAAATAATAAATCAACTCTACGGAATGACTTAAGTTAAGTCAAAAGTTCACCCACTCACCCCAAAAGGTATGTTCTTTAAGTAACTTCTAAACGTCCTCATTCTGCCTCTCTTTTTCAACTATTCTCCCGCTAATCATGCCACACTCTCCAAAAAAAAAAAAAACCTATTCCTTCAACATCACTACAAAACAAATCAAATATAAAAAAGTGCAAACGTGCTTTTAACCAATCATGCCGTTTATTTAGCTATCTTAATAAATTTCCTTTAAAAAACATAGACAAAATTTTATGTATGTTACTTTAATTGAAAGTCTAAAGCCAAGAGGACAATGGCATTGATTATTTCTTTAGCTAAATGACTTATTCCCCTTCACAACAATTAAATGACTACACCTACAAAAAATTGTTAATCTCACTTCTAAAAAATATCATGTTGTTTCTCTTATATATTAATATTCATATTTTATAACTCTTCTATTTCATTTATGAAAATATTGTCCATCTTCTTTCTTTATTTTCTCAACCCCAATTATTAATTCTCTTTCAAATAATTTTTTTCACATATTATATATAAAAAATAGTTGGAACATGTCATAAAATATAGTATAAATTTTCGAATTCTTACATATACATTTTAAAATAATTTTTTTATATAATTTAATACATAAATTATGGTTAATTTTTTGTGAAATTAAAAAATATTTATATCTATTTTCTAAAAACATAAACATTATCAATTAAAAGTATTTTTAACTTATAAAATTATGGTCAAAATTATAATTTTTATTTTTATTATATATTTATCTAATAAAAGTAAAATACTATTTATATAATTGTTCATGTAAATAAAAAAAATTATTTTAAAATATTAAATCTACATATTCAACATAAAAATTTAGAAAATGATATTTATGACAATAAAACTAAGCAAAATCAAATAATCACACATAATAATATTGAACATTGATAAAATATTTTAAAATAAAAAATTCACTTTAAATTTGGTTTATTTCAAACACTAAAGATAATTCTAATAGAAAAATTACAATTAAAAAGAAAATACGAAATATAATTCGATATTAAAAGAAATGTATCCACAACCAAAAAAATTGAGATAAGATAGAAAACAAATATTATATTTTTATTGAATGTTTAAAATCAAATAAAAATATTTAAATTAAAATTCATACATATTTTTATCATATTTTTTTAAAAATAAATCATTCACATTTATATATAATTTATATGCTTCTCGTGCGCCTATTCAATACACGGATCACATTCTAATTTAATTTAAATAAATTAAATTCAAAATATAACCTTTTTATAAAATTAATAAATTATTATAAAAGTTCTTCTCAAAAATAATATTTTAAAAAAAAAGTTAGTTTTATGACACTCAAATTAATAAGTGATTGAAGTGAAACGTTTTAAGTGGATAATAAATTATATCTAGGTGTACCTCACGGTCACATTTAGGGATATTCGCGGTTCGGTTTGAATCGGTTTTAAAATAGAAATTTATTTGATTTAAAGATAAATTTATTTGCGATTCGGTTCAGTTTTTTGAATGATATATTAAAAAAAATTCAATCCAATCCGATTTAATTTTATGCGATTTAATTTAAATTGGTTTTCAAATATTCAAATAAAATTACTGATAAATCATAATTTGATATAATATATAAAATATAGTATATTAAAAATTAATATTATAATATGAGAGTGGCCGATTATGATTGAAATAATAAAAATAAATAGATTATATTAAATTAATAAATATTGTTAAAAAAATTATTATCATCTAATAATAAATTCACATAATATATCATACTAATAAAAAATAAATCAATATAAAAATATATGTATGCGATTTGATTTGGTTTGAATCAGTTTTGAAAAATTCATTCGAAATTCGATCTGAACCGATCGGTTTTTATAAAATGACATCTAAATATATCAATAAGTTTTAATTTTTTTACGATTTTCAATTTTTTAGACCGATTTTCAATTTTTTATTTAGATTAATTTGAATTTAAATACCCCTAATCACACTTAAGGATGACAGTTAAATGATGATCTAGTAAATGAGAGTGAAAGAGAGACAAGCTTCCATGCGGTGATATGTGGATTAAGTCGGTCTTGTGGCATTGTACCAGCCCAATCCCCTTATTTTTTGGGACGTAATACAAAATTGAAAATGGAATGGTTGAATGCTTTTGCATGATTGTATTATTGTACAAATCATACCGTTCACACTCCCACTTACAATTGTCTTCCATCGCACTTACATTACACATACCTAACAAACTAAGAAGACAGAGAATTGTGGTAGGACCTAGAAACAATTTCAAATTTACATAGTAAAAGGAAAACAAGTTACAAAAGTTAAAGAAAAAAAAACATAAACTGTCCTTTTTTTACTAAGACCATGTTCTGCCCCTACACTACCTTATGTCTCCCATGCTGACCTTCCAAAACCTTGCACATGCATCATGACCTTATAACTATACCCCACATTCACTCACTCTTCCACAATTCTCGCATAATTAACCGGTTTTTTATCTATAAAAATGACCTTAACAATTTCATTCTCTCAACAGTCATAACTCATTGTCTGTTCTATACACTATGGCTTCTCTTGCAAACCAACTCTCTTTCTTCTTCTTATTCTTTTCCTTACTTCTCCTCTCACCACAAATTCAAGCAAGACAAAACAAGTTCTTTAGCTTCTTCTCTCATTTCAAAACCACCAACAATGTCAATGATCCTCAATTACCTCAATCTCCATCACCAGCCCCGGCACCGGCACCGGCACAAGAGCCAGCAGGAGCACCAGAAATTGCAACAACAACTATACCATCAGGACCTGCACCGGAGCCTGAGTTTTTAGTCGAAACCGGAAACGGTTATGGTCTATATGGAATTGATTCTAGCCAATATTCTTCCACCAAAGAAACTCCAAAAACCATAACAGATTTTGAAAATGAACTTCTCAGTGAAGATTTCAATGATGATAAGAGTTACAAAACAGGTTATCCTCAAACCAATCTCCATGATAACAATGAAGTGTACACAAAAAGCTACAACAGTGAAGAGTACAAGAACAATTACAACAATGAAGAGTACAAGAACAATTACAACAGTGAAGAGTACAAGAACAATGACAACAGTGAAGAGTACAAGAACAATTACAAAAACAACAACAACAATAACAATAATTATGGTAATGGTTATGAGAGGAAAGGAGAATTTGGAATGAGTGACACAAGGTTCATGGAGAATGGAAAGTACCATTACAATATAAATAGTGAAAATGAGAATTATAATAACCTTAATGGTTATGAATCAGGGAGAGGAAATACTGAAAATGAAGGTTACTATGAAAAAAATCAGCATCCAAATGAGTTTGAGACTATGGAAGAATATGAGAAGCAACAAGAAGCACAAGGTTACACATACACACCATGATGAGTGTTTTTTTCTATATATATTATATTTGGTTAAAACATGGGAAAGAAAATACAAAGTAATGAGATAATTGTGATGCTTTATTTTTAAGTTTCATGCATCCATGATCTTGCTCAGTTTCATGCTTTGGAGTGTGAGGTTCTTCTATCTTGTTAAGGAAATTATTTAACATTTTTGTGTTATTATTGTAAGAAACAGAAGTAAATGCATAAATTTTGTCATCTTCCTAAATATTAATGATGGGGATGTTATTTATGTTCATAATGTTAATGGGTAGAAAATTTTTAGTTAAAATATTTTGGTTCCAACCAACAACTTTTTTCTTAATCAATAAGGTTTCAAACTCCCTTACTTCTTGTTTGCAAGAGTTTGTGTGTTAAAACCCATATGGATTAGAAATTCAATTTTCTTACCAAACATTTGTAGTATTATCATTATCAATACACCAACAACTTGTTTTTAGAATCCAGCTAGCATGATGGACACTTCTCCATATGTAAAGGAGATTTGTCTAACTTACTCTAAAGAAAATTAACCATTAAAGAAGAAAATTAACCATTAGAAAATAATTAGCTTGAAGACATTTTGCTACCATCAAGCCATGGTTGGTAAGAATCCTCCACCCTTATTAAAGTCCTTTAATGTTTTTAAACCTAAATTCTTTCTTGGATTTACACTACTTAAACATTTTGACCAATGGAATTTGATAGCATTCCCTCTTTGGCCTCCACCAAAAATTATAAACCAATCTTTTTCATATTTTTGCAAATAGATAAAGGGAGGAGAAAAATTCTCATAATGTAGGTTGGCATGGTTTGGGCCATTGCATTGAGTTTTAGATTTGTCGATATCGATATGAAGACCAAGGTAGGTGTTAATTTTGTCAATCATAGAGATATTAATCCAAGAGTTGAACAACAATCTCTTGGTATCAAGAACATTCTTGCTAAACATGACTTTAATCTTGTTTGAATTATTGTTTTGGCCAAAGGCTTATCATTATTAGTAGGTGATGATAATAGTGAGAAGGTCTTTATCCTCTTTCTATTATGTTCTACAAAAAGGTAAGACTACCATCGGTAAAAAGCATATGGAAAGTCCTATGAGTATTCCTAGTAATAGTAATACATTACTCATTCCGTTCCACAATGAGTGATTTATTTGAAATAAAATAGTGTGTCAAAATGAATGATTAATTTCAATTTTTAATATATTTTTTTCAATTTTACCCTCTAATTAATTAAATTTTCATCATTTTCAATACATGATTATAGGTACTATAGTAAAAACATTATTCTCTCTTATTTTTCTACATTTTTCTTAATATGTGTGAAATGGTGGACTTAGTCGCTCATTGTAGGACGGAGAGAATAATATATTTGTTAGATTGAATATTTAATATGTTGTTAAAAAAAATCAACACAAATAATTAAAATAAAGCGGAAGGGGATCTCCTTGCCTAATACCTCCAGTGAAAAGAAAACACTGCGATGGATAACCATTAATAAGAATAGAAAAAGAAACCTTAGATATACACTTTAAAATGGTATTGGCGTTATTGTTAGGGAAATCCATGGAATTTAAAATGTTTCTAATAAAAATTTCATTTAAGTTTATTATAAGTCTTGTTCATGTAGAGTTTAATACCAATTTCTACCTTTTTTTTTTAGTTTTATTAATAAATTTGAAAATTCCAAAGATTATGGAATTATCAATAATAAATTTGACCTGGATAATACTTTCAGGCACTTCATCCTTACCCAGCCTTGTATTTAAAAGTCTAATGGACCAGAATAAACCTAAGAGTCCAACGATCCAAACTCGCGATAGTTGCATAAACATTGATTTTAAATGATTAGTCAGGGTCCATCTTATTCGCATGCGAAGGTCTTAAAATGTCTAGTCAGGCAAAAGAGAATAAGCAAGATAGAGGTCTAACATGAAAAAAACAAGAGAGCAAAAGGAGGTCGCTTAACCAAAAAAAAAAGACAACCACTTCCATGTCACATTAGGTCAAAGAGACAAAGAAATCAATCACAAAGCTTCTCACATACTCATACCAATTATGAGAAATGTATTACCCGACCATACCCTTAATGACAATTCAAAGGAAATAACTATGAAGGACTTATAAATAAAGGGTTCATCAAGAACCCAAATATTCTCATTCTCAACCTACAACAAACACATACCATATACTATTCAATCATCAATGTTGTATTTTGTTCCTAGCATACTGCTAACAAGGCCCTTAACAAGTTTAGCCAAAAAAATTGGTGCCCACCATTAGGCAGACTAAAAGGCATCCTCAGACACATAACCATTGATCCAACCGATGGTGAAGAGCGATCAGTGGCTCCACCAAAAGAAATCAGGGTGTTGTAATTGATTTTAAATTGAGAGTCGGCACCATTAATTTTCATCTTAAGACATGTGAATTATGGGTAACTCAAATTTGGTCAGAGATTCTAACTTGTTGGACTCGTTCTTAGACGAAGGGAAGGTCTTAGGCATCTCTAATCTATCTTGTTCACAAGGATACTAGGATTTAGAATTACGACTTAGGAAATAGGGTTTTAATTTTTATTTGGGGAACTCGCCACGATTTTAGTCGTATGACTACGTATCCTCTTAGGAGGAATCAGAGCTCCAATTCATAGTTCGCAATTGGTTGGTGTTTTTTATGGATTACAAAGATATTGAAATTCTATGTGTACTTAGCCTGGATGTGTGAATAGTGGAGTTGTTAGATGAAGTGCGCAGTCGATTAAAAATATTTTCTTAATCCTTTTTAAAAATTAATTGTTGAGTTAATTTATTATGAAAAAGAGTTTAGTGTTGGTTAAATATTTTTTAATATATTAATTATAAAAATATCTTATTAATGCATGATTAAAATGATTTTAATGTAATAAATAAATAAATATTTGGATGAGTTTAGAAAATAAATATTTGATTTATAATAATAATAAAATAATATTAAAATTATAAATATATTAAAATATATAAAAGATATCATTATAATAAAATAATTAAAGGAATTAAATTAAAAATGCATGGGGGTGTAAATTATGTTGGGCTAACAAAATATGGGGATATATGTAGCAGGGCTCTGAACTCAGATGTTGAATTCAGGCCCAAATACTGGGGGGTTTGAATCCTAACGTGATAACAAATCTGGGGTGTGTAGAGAGTAAGGAAAAGATTAATTCTTTTTGAATTTTCCCTAATGAAACAAACTAGAAAAAAGGGTTTGAAATAATCTCTAAAAATTAATTTCTGGAAAAAAGTTTTAATATATTATACAAAATATTAATCACTAATTATAACAAAGTTTAATAGATAATTATATGATAATATAAAAAAAAAGTTTAAACTTATTATAATAAATCCTACAATAAATATTAGATCAACGAACCAACATAATCAGACAAAAATTCAAACATATGCAAATATTCAGTCATACAATTAAAGATTCAGTTTTACCAACCTAGAATGCAGTGACCCACTTAAGTTGCTTCTCCCTTTGTTCTTCGTGCTTTTTCTTTCCTTTCTCCAATGTGATTGCCTTGATGAATACCAGATTCTGAAGGCTTAGAGTTTATTTGTTGTTGTTCTTCGATGTGAAGAACAATAACTTTAGGAGATATTTTTTTGTAAACTGTGGATTCTCCAAATGATTGTTGATGGAGGCTTTAGGGTTTCTTTGTTGTTATTCTTCGATGTGAAGATCAACAATTTTTAGGAGAACTCTAGTGAGTTGTTGATCTGTAAATGATTATTGATTCTCCAAATGGTTGTTGGTCCTCCAAATGATTGTTGATGGAAAAAATTTAGGCGTTATGTTCAAAATCCTAAAATTAACCAAGAAAGTTGCATACAAAGAATGTTTGTGAGAGAGATAGAAAATTGTTGATGTAATTGTTGGTCAAACATTATGGTGAAGAGAGTCATATTTATAGATTTGAAATTAAGTTAAAGACATCCAAAAAAGAAACAGTCCACACCAAGAAAAGTCCAAAGTTTATGATTTTATTTTGGTCAACAAGTCTACAAACCCTGACCAATGAGAAATCGGTTTTGTCAACAGGTGACAAATCATGTGATTTTGTTATTTTTATATTTTATATTATATTTTGGTTATTTTTTAATTAAAATTTGAAAAAAGTAAAGGCTTCCTGGGTGAAACCTGCTCGTGGGGACCCAATACAAGTCCTGTGGTACAAGCTCCAAAGGTTAAAGGAAGATGTCAAGAATTTTAGTAAACAGGCTGGCAACATTAAGCAGAGATTACTTACTGCTAGAGAGAAGCTACATAAAGCCCAAAATGAGCTCAAAAATAATAGGCAGGACAACAATTTGATTGTGCAGATCAAATCCCTCACTGATGATATCATTAATCTCCATGAGCATGAAGAAAGTAGGCTGAACTAAAGGGAGAAAATTGACTGGATAAAAAAAGGTGATGGCAATAACAAGTTCTACTATGCGCATATAAAAGCTAGACACCAAAGGAATTACATCAAGTTCCTGCAGAAAGATAATGGAGAAGTCATTACAGGGCACAACAATATTGAAAAAGAGATCATGCAATTCTACCTTCATCTGATGGGTGAAAAGCCTAGCCAAATCAAGCATATTGATGTGGAATCTATGAGAATGGGCAGGCAGATTCTGAATGAACAAAAAAGCTCCCTTGTAAACTCTGTTTCTGTCCAGGAGATTGAATAAGCCTTGAAGAATATTGGAGACAACAAGTCCCCAGGCATTGATGGATTTACTGCTAAGTTTTTCAAGAGTTGCTGGGACATTCTGAAGATGGACGTTATTTCTGCAGTACAAGAGTTTTTCAGAACAGGCACTATCCTAAGCAAGTTTAACAGAACTCTAGTCACACTTATTCCTAAAGGAGACAGAGCTATGGGTATAAAGGACTATCGGCCAATTTCTGGATGCACTATCTTCCTCAAGATCATTTCGAAAATCCTTACCACAAGACT